CGGTGTTTTTGTTCCGTCGTCTATCCCGATTACGTACTTCTGAAAGAAGTAGAGGAGGTTTTTCACTTTTCTGGGGAAATCAATATTGAAAACACTATGCGCGAGCACGTATGCCGTCACAGCCTCTGCCTCGGTCTCGGCTGTGTACTCAGTGTGTAGATGTCGTGCGCGTCTTGGGCCACCGTCAGTCCATAGATGGCTGGCTGGCCTTCACGCCTCGAGTCGATACTACGCATCAGGTCTTCGTACTCAACCCCGAGGAGTCCAGCGACCGGGGCACATTGGGTCCCACATGGGCTTTCCCAGCCGGGACCCACATGGGTATAAGCGAAAAATCCCACATGGGGCCCATGTGGGTTCGAAATGGGACCCATATGGGGCCCAGTCGAGACCCACATGGGTATAAGCGAAAAATCCCACATGGGGCCCATGTGGGTTCGACATGGGACCCATATGGGGCCCAGCCAGGGCACATATGGGTCCCACATGGGCTTTCCCAGCCCAGTCGAATAATCTAAATTTCATTGGGTTCGAAATGGGACCCATATGGGGCCCACTGTGTCCTCCCCCAGTTAGCCCCCACATGGGACCACCCTGAAACTCCCCGAAAACGCCTGCCCTGTGTTGTGCACCTGGTATTCGTTCCATCAACCAGCTTTCCTCCGAACTATTCGCGTATCAGTCAACAAACAATCCACTTCTTTTTTGTTTATTATTCAAACACTGAATGAGACAGTCGCTCTCGGAGATCAGGGTCACAGGAGATGCTTTCCTCCTCGATGGGCGCCGGCGCAGTCGCCTCCGAAGCGACCGGCACTGGCGGACTGGGGCGACGGCGCTTTCGACCACCGTCCCTGTCACGGACGCCGGTGAACCATTTTTCCAGCGCCCGTTCCACTTCATTGCAGGAGACGTCCTTGGTTGCGGCGTTCCTCTTGATAGACCCTGGGGTTGACAGTTCGTAGTCAATTTCAAACTTCTTCATCCATGATCATGCAAATGGCATAGTCGAAAACGGATTCAGCATGTTACAACGTAGCATGAAAATGCGTATTTTCACCCTCGCCGGCATTGGTTATTTCGTGTCCTTCCTCGGCACAGAGGGGGGGGGGAGGGAGGTGATAGGACCCCGCGCCTTTAGCCCATATTTGAGCTAGAGCTTCGCCCCCTCCCTAAAAAAACGAGCGTGTTGGTCTCCACAAGAGAAAGCCGATGGTGCCCAATTTTATGGCATCAGGTCAACCGAGTCAGTGGCATCACCTGTTATGAAAAGCCAGGGATGTGCCCATGTGTATTATTGAAGCGTCTGTATGTATTTTCCAATGCTCCTACGCGCTAGCAAAGACGGTGCGAAAGTGATTCGGGGCTATATTCTCACGAAAACAGCGTCTTTGGGTGAGGTGACAGCCCGATGAGGTATAACACGCGACAAGCGAATAACATGACATGGCGGCGGCGGGGAGGCGGACGGCAACGCGTGTGTCGCCAGACAGACCAGGCAGAAATGGGACACAACGTTATCGCGGGCGCGCGTCCCCTAGCCTAAGTCACGTGACCGCGACGGACGTCTTGGCTGCGCAGCAGCCGCGCGCTGGTTCATTGCCCCTAGAGGGCCAAACAGAGAAGTCATGGTACCACAAAATTTTCCGCTCGTATACGATTGGAAAAGCTCCTAGCTGCGCTAAACGCCGATTTTCCAATGCTCCTACGCGCTAGCAAAGACGGTGCGAAAGTGATTCGGGGCTATATTCTCACGAAAACAGCGTCTTTGGGTGAGGTGACACGCCCACAAACCCCACCGAACCCGCGGAGGAGCATTGCGCACTATGGTAACCCTGCCATGCAGTACTGAGCCAGTGCGAGGAGATGTAGGACAATTTACAACAAGACGTATTACTTGTATCCAAATATAACACATGCACATGACCGGCAAGCTGCCGGCAGGAAGAACCACTACCACATCGCTATTGGCGTAATGTAAAATTACCGGCCAGCCGGCAACGTATTAAGGAAACCTTGCACCTCTACCCGGTATGGAGGACCAAGAACAACACATGCACAGCACACCGCTCTAAATTGATCACCACCAAATCGAGCACATATAAAAACCGGGAAGCCGAACGGCAACTGTGTGCGAAAGATATATGCGTACCTTGTAACGCCAGTTGGTTGTAAGAGCGGAGCGCCAACGCGTGTGTCGCCAGACAGACCAGGCAGAAATGGGACACAACGTTATCGCGGGCGCGCGTCCCCTAGCCTAAGTCACGTGACCGCGACGGACGTCTTGGCTGCGCAGCGGCCGCGCGCTGGTTCATTGCCCCTAGAGGGCCAAACAGAGAAGTCATGGTACCACAAAATTTTCCGCTCGTATACGATTGGAAAAAGCTCCTAGCTGCGCTAAACGCCGATTTGCCACTGGTTGCTCACCCGCCACAGGCTATCGCCGACCTCACACTGGCACATGGCGGGCATCGGGGTCTGCTCGGCCCGGGCCCGGAGGAGGCCGATACATGCCCAATTGTCGTATCTCACCGTCACATAAGCAATAGTGGACATAGGGATATGCCACTATGCACTTACAATACAAATTACAAACCATGATAAAAGCATGTACGAGTATGATACACTCGCACGTTTTGTGTACATGAGTGCAACTCTGATAATCAGTGGGTACACTCCGATCCTTTTCATTCTTATTCCCGTTTCTAGAATTCCGTCATGCCTATACGGTATGCCTCGAGCCATGCGAAGTCCGTCTCCGTAACCATAACCATCGCTATGTATGTCATGTAGCCCCTGTAGCTGCTCTTTTCGCCTCTGCCGCTGTTTTCTGTCCTATGTTCGCAGCTAGCCGGGGCTCAGGATCTCATCTGAATCTGCATTTCTGCCCCTGCGCCGTGGTGTGAGGATCTAAAAGCTACATATTGACCACCCCACCACTGGTTAGATGGGCCATTGGCTGACGACGGACGACGGTGGCGCTCTATCCAGACAGATGCTTTCTGCTTTCTTGTAAGTATGAATATGACTGAGTTTTGTAATGGTGTTTTCTGGTTGTTTGCCTGTTCTGGTGGACGACTTTGTTATCCGGCAGACTTCTCAGTAAATGTATTTTACCATCAGCGTAAGGTTTTTCATATATATTCTTGAAATATATATATTTCATATCAGTGTAAGGTTCTCGTATTACTCCAATGTGCGTTTGTGCAAAGAATATTGTTTCTATTATGGGACTCCTTGAAACCTCTTTGCGTCAATTATCTTCTTCCGGTTGGCTAAGATGTTCCAAAATCTGTCAGTCTCCTTTGAGGGTGTACCTCCCAATTTTGCAGGCCTAAATTTGTGGATGCTGACCCTACATCACCATTGCTATATTAAAACGCAGTTTTATTTTCAGCGTTCCCTGCTGGATTCGAGAGAGTCGAGTGGTCAGTGGTCACCTCATCGGAACGATGGTGGCCCAGGGTGTCTGGTTATCTTCGGCTGATGCCTCACGTCAGGCGACATCATTTGACCCCATCGATGATATCATCATGGACCAGATGAATGAAGAGCTTCTTGATTTGACGCTGGCTGAGAGCTTCGCTCGTGCGACCAAGACTGCGATGAAAGTGATGCGTGAGCCAATGTCCGACGCATTGCGGGAAGGGATAAGTGGTCAGGGATCTGAGTTTGAAACGCTGTTTAGGTGGGATTGGAGAGTGACGAATCAGATCGAACAAACGTGATGTGAGGGATGTAACCGTCATAGGCGTAATGTTAAAATTCGGGTTTTTTTTTTGGGGGGGGGGCAAACGGCCTTTGGGGGGGTCATGGTCCTAAACGCCCCCCCCCCCCTGGATCCACCAGTGGTGCTGTGGCCTGTGCATGGTTGTAAATGCATTAGCACTTAGCGAAGGTGCGGCCACAGCAAGAGGATGGTCGCTCTCAAAATTGGGCGGATGCGCAGACTGTTGATGCAGGATCTTGCGTGATGGGGCTAACGGGCATTTGCTCGTTGATTTATGATTTTGTGTGTGCCGCCGGCGAGGCGGCGTAAATGGCATGTGGTGAGACGGCACGCTGACGGGTGGACAACTCCTCCCGTGCTGAGGGTCTTCCCTCGGCGCTGGTCTGGGCTAGTCCATTCCCTGACAAAGGGAGGCAGTTGGGATTGTTTCCCTAAACGGGAAGGCTCCGCTAACTCCGCATCTATTGTTTGTAATATTTATTTGTGATAATGAAATATATGTAACTGCGCATAAGCTTGCTGTTTCTGCCGTACCGAAGATGAAGCACGGGTGGGAGTGGGCCTGGTGTGAGACGACGCAGATGGCGTGTTTTGGGAAGTGATAAAGGGGCGAGTACCTACATTTCGTGGGACAAAGGGAAGGTAGGTGTAATGGACCCGCCCAAAGACCGAGATCAGAGGCCAGTTTTAGGTTACCAATAGAAAAATAGCCGCCTGCCTAAATTTTTTGCCTAAAGACCGCTTCACATACACGTAAATGGTAAAGCCCTATCCGCTTACGTGCCCATCACCTTAACGCTCCGTATGTGAAGCGGTCTTTAGGCAAAACAAAATCCGGTAGTCGGCTATTTTTCTGTTGGTAAAACTGGCCTCTGACGATTTTTTTTTTTTTTTTAGCTTGGACGAGTCAATTTCGTGACGAAGGGAAGGTAGTGTGAACATTTACAGGCCAGTATTGGGTCGTCAACGATTGGTATGGGGTCGTGAAAAGCCGGTGTGGGTTTTTGAGCCTCATGATAATCGACCAAGGGCCAGTGCCCCATACGCCCATTGGCCTATCAGTTGCGGGGGGATGCGCACTGCACCCCATATGCATTTGGAGGGGACATTGCCCCGATGCCCCCGCCCTTGTGACCGCCACTGTCTATGTCCAATGCCCATTCCATAAGTAATGCGACAAGTTCATGGTTGTTACTGGTGAACGGTTATGAGCGGCTGAACTAGGTAGGTTGCCTGTTTTCCGTCGGGAGCCATTCATCAACATTGGTCACGCATACAAGAGTAGTGTATTACCAGCTGATATTGTGGCAGCACATACACAACGAGGTATCAATATAAAAGCTAAAATAGAGTTCAACTTACAAATAAATATTCAGATCGCATTCCTAAAAGTCGTCGCAAAAAAAAATTTCAGCTGCGCTTGAAAAGCGCTCTTATTTTATCGGCCATACCACAACTGGCACATACGTTAGTACACGGGACACTGCTCGCGGAAAAATCGCTGTTCGCGCCAACAGCGAACACAATACACCCAGTGGCAGTTTGCAAGGCTCAAATGGTAACCTTTAAAACTGGCAGCGTTTACACCGGTCGACATCCGCCTGGCAGCACATCTCACATCTGGCAACACAACTCACACCTGGCAACCGCTAAACAGGCAACAAATAAACGACACAACCACAGCTTAACCGGACGGCAGCGGCAGACAAAATCACCCACACTTCCTTCTCACTCCTGCCCTTGCCGAACGCACCGCAAGCGTCCGCACCGAACGCACCGCAAGCGTCCGCACAGAACGCACCGCAAGCGTCCGCACCGAACGCCCCCACAGCTATCACAATAGTTGAGCATTAATAATGTGTCCGTGGTGCGTGTTTGCGGCAGCGGCGACCAACTAAAACCGCCTTAATGCTACTCTCACGCGCGCTCATTGGCTGGTGACGCCTGTCCCTGAAAACTCGTTCGGTTTCGCTCGGTTCTAGAGCTGACCGTTTTGCGACGGCCGACGAATTGGACGCTCCTCCGCGAACGCAAAGTCAAGTCCGTCGTACCAACACTGACGCCTCTCCATTATCTTTCGTTATCTTCTCGCTCGTCATCCAACGCGTAATTCATCGTAATCCGCTTCCGATTCATTGACTGGTCCGTCCCAGCTCGCTCGTCAACTTTCACAGCTCCGTCGTCCTTTTATCCACCGCTCGGACGGATATGTGACCGTGTTAGCGACCAAAAAACGGGCGGATAACCTTTACCCGTGTCACATGGATCATCCGAGCTTGGTCCTTCCGCTCGTCCGTTCGCCCGTGTTTGACGATTCTCATCCGAACGGCTTAATTTCTATGTCGATCACATGAGTTCAGTGTTCGCTCGCTCATCATTCGATGGCCTCAGGTGTGAGCCTGCTTACAGACCAAACAGCCTTCCGAGGCCCTGCAGACCAAGTCCAATTCCTCCAAACGGCCCACCACCGCGGAAGGGCCTCCCACGCGTGGGCTGCTGGGGTGGCGGCGGCGGCGGCGGCGGCTGGAACTGCGGAGCGGCCGGCTGGAAGCCACCCTGCTGTTGCTGGGGCGGCGGCGGCTGGAACTGGGGAGGAGCCACCGGGGCGGGGGCGGGGGCGGGGGCTGGAGCGACCGGCCGGGGAGGACTGAGACCTGATGACGGTCGGACTCCACCGCTGCTGCCGCTGCCGCTAGCTCCGGCGCTGCCGCCTCCCAGCTCAGAAAGGCACTGGACGCGACAGGAGGTGTCGGCGAGGACCGTGTTCCGGCCGTGCTGCTGCGCCAGCTGCTGGCAGCTGGTCACACGAACACTCTGGCAGTTGGTTTGCTGAAACACGAGAGAAATCGAAGTCAGATAGGCTGGACGGTGTAGCGATGGAGAGGGCAGTTAGATATTGGAACAAAGGTAGAGGAGACAAGTTATATGGCGCAGGACGCTAGAGACAATCACATGGTAGATCAGGTATTGACGCTCGGTATCCATGGAAGCATAAGCATTGTAATGATTTTGCTTACGTTTCCATGGAAACCGAGGGCCAACACATGGTGGTGACGGGTAGCGGCGTACTGTGAAACAGGGCCGAGGATTTAATACGTGTTGCTTACCCCGTTGGAGCAGGAGCAGCGGGTACACGGGCTGATGCTGATGGTGGTGCCTCTGCTGAAGGAGACGCCGTTGACGTTGCACTGGCCGCCGCCGTTGTTGCCCTCCTTCCACAGGTCAAAGTTCATCCGCGGCATGGAGCGGCACGCGATCCGCGGGTTCCTGAGGAGGTCACCAGAGGTCAAAACGCTGCCAGTTATGGCTGACATCTTTGGTAAGCACAGCTCACGATTGAGCTACTTTATAAAAATACGTGAAAATAGAAAGCACTTACAATGACGCATCTAGTTTCATAAATCGTGGGAATAGACAAGCCTCGAGCGATTAATATCATATCACAACACCAAAAATAACCACCACGCAATTACAGTAAATCACAGGCATCTCACAACGTCCTTGTATCGATATATTCCTAAGGATCTGTTGTATCAGCTAACCCTACCCTACCCTTCTGTCTTACGCCCAAAGCCCCAAACAACATCTTGACGCCCTAAAATCTACCCAAAACCATTCCCACACCTTCCGTGCCCCTGACGGCGACCCGTCTACTCACAGGAAGTCGTGCGGCATGTCGAACAGCGCCCTCTGTAGCGCGTCCACCTCGTCACAGTTCTGGCACATGATGTGGCTCATGGTCACCTTGCGGATCTCGGCCAGCTGTTTCTCAGTGAACCGGATCGAGGGCTCTTCCGTCTCGTACCTGTGAGAAGTGAGAGCGGTGAGAAACCTGAATGGTGAGAGGGTGATAATGGGAGGGGTGGGGTGAGAGGCAGAGGCCGAACAAGCATTGGGAGGGGAGACTGCAAGCGGGGAGAGGGCAAGGCGGTTTAGGAGCGGGAAGGCGGTTGGCGAGCGACCAAGCGCGGGTAAGATGCTGGAAAGACAGTCTGAATAGGAGCCAAGCGACGGTCGTCTGTGTGCAGGAGGCTATGACGCTGAAGCTTACGGTTTGTGTTAATTCGCTATCATGATAAACAGTAAACACTGAGTGTCGTTTTGAATTAAATGCAATATAGTAGCTTGTAAAGCGAGTAAGATGTTCTCAAGCTACAAAATATTTACTGCGAAGCGGGTCTGCCGTACTAATGCACCTTACGTAATGATTATGTAAATGCACATCCAATCACGGAGCGTTGATTTACTAACCAGAACCTGTCGCACTTCTTGAGGAATCTGAACTGCAGTCCGATGATGCAGCCGAATGTCGGTCCGACCAGACCTCCCTGGAGTGGGGTTTCACTCAGACCTCCCGTGAACAGGTCAATGTCGTCCACACTGGCGTATACCTGGAATGGAGATTGAGAGGGTGAGTCAGATGAGCGACAGACGTGGGAATTAGACGGGTAATAGACAAGATGAGCACGATGACGGGTCAAGATGCCGGTTCGTGCGGTGGCTCTGTCCTTGTGAATCCTTCCCATCAAAAGGTTCGGACTAAATTTATAAAAAAAAAGATGAGCGACAGACCGCCTAATCCATGACTGATCTATGATCCATGACTAATGGTTGATGTCAGATCTTACATCGTAAGATGGATTAGACGACCTGAAACATGACAGTCGAATGCAGTGTCGGTTGTACGAGGGGGAACTTGATGAAGGGCTATTGCGTATGAGATTATTACGGAGCGAGCGAAGCGAGCGGAGTCTTTCCTTAGATTAACGGAAATTTCTGAGTATGAGCGGCCGGCCGGCCGTGCGGACGCTTTTGCGAGGCTTATATCTCAGCAACCACTTGACCGATTTACACGGGGTAATTTTTGTAGGGTAGCTTCATTCCTTCTACCAAGTATTGGACTATTCCCGATGCATGTGGGTGACCCCTTATGCACGTGCCACGCGCAAAACGAAGAGGTGTCAGTTTTGTAATTGTTGCAATATCTCGGTAACTACTTGGCCGATTGCGCTGAAAGTTGGCATGTAGGTAGGCACCCACTAGGCACTGCATATCCATGTGCCAGAGTTGGGGTGCTGCTGCACGTGCGCACGTGCAGGGGTCGTTTCCAGATCTCGAGAACGGCTGGACCGATGGCGCTCAAATTTGGTACACGGTTAGGGACCAGTTAGTAGGGTGCCGTGCACAAGTCAGTTGGGACCCATTCTGCACGTGCGCACGTGCAGGGTGCCGCTTCCAGATCTCGAGAACGGCTTGGCCGATTGTGCTCAAATTTGGCACATCGCTATAGACCGGTTAGTAGGGTGCCGTGCACAAGTCAGTTGGAGGTACCTCCTCGAAATTTCGCACGTGCAAGGCTCACCCTCTCGCTCGCTCCGTTAGTCGCCCCAAAAGGCGTTGTACTGGTTACGGAGCGAGCGAAGCGAGCGGAGTCTTTCCTTAGATTAACGGAAATTTCTGAGCATGAGCGGCCGGCCGGCCGTGCGGACGCTTTTGCGAGGCTTATATCTCAGCAACCACTTGACCGATTTACACGGGGTAATTTTTGTAGGGTAGCTTCATTCCTTCTACCAAGTATTGGACTATTCCCGATGCATGTGGGTGACCCCTTATGCACGTGCCACGCGCAAAACGAAGAGGTGTCAGTTTTGTAATTGTTGCAATATCTCGGTAACTACTTGGCCGATTGCGCTGAAAGTTGGCATGTAGGTAGGCACCCACTAGGCACTGCATATCCATGTGCCAGAGTTGGGGTGCTGCTGCACGTGCGCACGTGCAGGGGTCGTTTCCAGATCTCGAGAACGGCTGGACCGATGGCGCTCAAATTTGGTACACGGTTAGGGACCAGTTAGTAGGGTGCCGTGCACAAGTCAGTTGGGACCCATTCTGCACGTGCGCACGTGCAGGGTGCCGCTTCCAGATCTCGAGAACGGCTTGGCCGATTGTGCTCAAATTTGGCACATCGCTATAGACCGGTTAGTAGGGTGCCGTGCACAAGTCAGTTGGAGGTACCTCCTCGAAATTTCGCACGTGCAAGGCTCACCCTCTCGCTCGCTCCGTTAGTCGCCCCAAAAGGCGTTATACTGGTTACGGAGCGAGCGAAGCGAGCGGAGTCTTTCCTTAGATTAACGGAAATTTCTGAGCATGAGCGGCCGGCCGGCCGTGCGGACGCTTTTGCGAGGCTTATATCTCAGCAACCACTTGACCGATTTACACGCGGTAATTTTTGTAGGGTAGCTTCATTCCTTCTACCAAGTATTGGACTATTCCCGATGCATGTGGGTGACCCCTTATGCACGTGCCACGTGCAAAACGAAGAGGTGTCAGTTTTGTAATTGTTGCAATATCTCGGTAACTACTTGGCCGATTGCGCTGAAAGTTGGCATGTAGGTAGGCACCCACTGGGCACTGCATATCCATGTGCCAGAGTTGGGGTGCTGCTGCACGTGCGCACGTGCAGGGGTCGTTTCCAGATCTCGAGAACGGCTGGACCGATAGCGCTCAAATTTGGTACACGATTAGGGACCAGTTAGTAGGGTGCCGTGCACAAGTCAGTTGGGACCCATTTTGCACGTGCGCACGTGCAGGGTGCCGCTCCCAGATCTCGAGAACGGCTGGGCCGATTGTGCTCAACTTTGGCACATCGCTAGAAACCCGGTCAGTAGGGTGCCGTGCACAAGTCAGTTGGAGGTACCCCCTCGAAATTTCGCACGTGCAAGACTCACCCCCTCGCTCGCTCCGTTAGTCGCCCCAAAAGGCGCTATACTGGTAAAATATTTTGCCATGGGTAGAAAAACGTGGCAGTGCAGTATGACCGCGTTGTCTGAATATCCAAGGCACACTAAAGACCCTTGCTGCGCCTACCTGTTTCATCTTGTTGATGAGTCGCTGAGGAATCTCCCGGGAGAGCTCGTCAAAGGTGGTCACCTTCTTGAGGTTACAGATGGCACGGTACTCGTTGTAAGGTCGCAGACCGTGGTCACGAGCTGAAAACAGAACGGTGCTGTAAGTTCAGGGGTCTTTGGTCAGGAATGACCATGGACAAGACATGTCGATACCATGAATCTTACATATCGTGAAGTTGAATGATACTGATGGAAATAAGGCTATTTCGAATCACACTCTGCAGCATAGACATGCGATTTAGAGCTGTGATTCATAGTGTGGAAAAAAGGTGTATCGATGTCCAATGACGAAGTTAGGTTGGATACTTTGGGCTCTACAACTGTTACATTCCACTCTGTGCTAAATCCGGACTGCCAGCCATCACGCTACTCACCTCTCTGAATGTTGAGCGAGACGAGATCGAGCCCCGAGAACGGATGACCGCGCTCCTCAAACAGATGCTTGGTGACCTCCGAGGTGATGAAGTTGTCCAGGTTCTCCATCGGCGTGTTGACCAGGCCGCGCATGATCTCGTCGACCATCTGAACCTGTTGAAGCGCATGACGCCCGTCAGATGCTGGCTATAACGATGTTGGTTATAGCGATGTAGGACGTTGATCATGGTGGAAACATTGAATGTTCTTCGGAGTCGTACAGTGTTCGGTGGAGCGAGACAAATCGTTATGAGGCTGAGTGGATCGCCCATGGACGCAAAAAGTCGAACAGATTATGGCATGGAACGCTGGGAAAACCTTTTTGGCACTCAGCAGTGTTAATCAGTTTTACTCTAGTCTACCTTCGTTTCAATGCGTCAATCCCAGCTATGTAGCCCGTCTTTCACAACTGCTGTTTAGCTTGATGGACAAATTCACACGCATCACACGATGAGATTTAGCACACTTACCAGTGACAGCTCAACCACACGCATTTGTCACACACATTAAGTAGGAAAGTAGTGAAAGTCTGTTGCATTAAAAGGTCATGTAAACTAAATGATATTTGATCTTTTCTATCTCTTCCATTGTCTCACTGCCTGGCCGTTTGAACAGAAAACTACCATGCAGACCTTACCATGCCTCGTCCGATCTTTCCGCCTCCACCACATCATACCTCCGTTCATCAACGACCATTCTCTCAGCTCTCATTCACCACAGGGTTTATATCTTACGTCAAACAGCATGTCCGAGTTGAAGAAGCTGTTTCGCAGCTGGATGTGCGGGTTGCGCTCGCCGAAATTGACGCCCATGCGGAACAGCTTAGGCCGGATCAGAGAGTGCCCGAAGCGGAATGCGGCCGATGAGAATTCGTTCAGCACGGCAGCGCTGCATGTGTCGTCATAGCCTGTAACCATGACAAAGGGCGTAAACAAAGCGGCCTAAGTCAAGCATCCTTAAAACTTCCAGAGTCTGCTGATAGTAACTTCATAACATCAGGCACTCTTGCTAAAAACGTAGGCTAAAACAAAGACGAGCTTCAAATTCAACAAAAAGTGTTGGACCCAGAACGCACCCTTGAAGAATCCCTCGGTGCCGACACGGAGGTCGTATAGCTGCATGGCGTTCCAGCCGAGGATGCGCGGCAGGAACTCGTTGTAGGTGATGTGCTCCCAGACGGCAGTCACGATCTTACGGCCCACCTGGTGTTAAAAGTCAGGTCAGCATTGAAGCTTTGCTGTCGTGAGATTTGTTTACGAGTCAGGCAGTCCATTTATCTCGTCAACGTTTCAAATTCTAAGCACGTCCTGAGCCTTGAATAGCTTTATATTGTGGAAGCATATAGCCTATCCTTAAACTAATCAACCTTTCAAAGCTCCCCACAAATGACGCATGTATGCAAATAAAATAGCCTTTAGCGCGCGGTCTCTCACCTGGTACAGCTTCTCGTCATCCCAGTGCGGGTTGATGGAGGCCAGCTCCGCCACCACACGGTTGTGCTCGCGGATCCAGATCACGTGCAGAGTAGCCAGACCGGCCTGTTCCGAGGCACGGTTATCACCTGTTGGTGATGACGTGGCGTTAGCGTGGGGATAATTGACGTTTCGTTGTCATGGCGATAATTCAAAGGGCATGATGCTGCAAGAAAGTATCAGGGTGCCAAGAGTTACTGAGAGATGAAATATTACGGCCAGGAGATAAACGTAATGCTTTTGTGTCTGGACCCAATTGGCAAGCAACCTGTCAATAGGGCGGTATTGCGGTTCTATTATTATGATCAGTCTTCCATGAATACTGCAAAAATATCGTGACAAATCAATTAAGAGTAAAAACTGAACAGAAGTTTCGAGCAATACGTTCAAAACGACCTAAATCGCAACTAAATGCCAACTTCCCAATTTAACTCTAGCCCACATCCATCGCCCACAAGCTGGTTATCACGGTACCCACCAGCAGCGAAGCAGGATCCGGACGGTGCCCTGCACTCCTTGTTGTCCCTGGTGGTGGGCAGCAGACCCTTCCCGCGCACAGGGTGGGGGGTGGTGATGAGACGGCCGCCCTGGAACTGACGCAGACTGCGCGCCTCGCACTGATCCTGGCCGTAGATATGGGACGCGTCCAGGTAGGCCGTGTTCTGGTTGATCTGCTCACGAGGGCCTGCGGGGGAGAGGAAAACGGCGGTTAACGATGGCAGAACGATGGTAGAGAGATTCAGTCTAGATGCCGATCAGGTAGATACACTTTCGAGATATCTGCGTTAAAGTTTTTGAGTGACATGAATGGCCTGTAAACATAAGTGAAACTTAACGGCTGTCTTTTATTGAAAAAAAAAAAAAAAATACATCTTTCGTTATGCAAAGAGCAGACGGAACTGCAAACGATACTGGTTGAAAGTTATTTCCAAACAAGGCGAGGCAAGTTGAAGAAGTGGCATGTTTGAGTCGATTTACGACTTCAAAATTCAGCAAGCTTATACGTTCAGCGTTCAGCGTTAGCTTCAAAAGACGGCGCATTATCTCACGAAGGAGGCTCGCTAGGTTCCAAAGGAAGCACATTAGCTTACAAGGCGTCACATAAGCTCACAAATCGTCGCGTTATCTCACCGAGAGTTTGCTGTCCGGGCAGAGAGCGTGTGAAGGCGATGCAGAAGGGCCTGCCGCTGCTGACGTTGACCGGAGGGAAGTAGGGGTCGTTCTGGGGTACACTGATGGGCCAGCACTCCGGGTGTACCCGGTTGGCCGAGTCACAGTCGCGACAGTTGAGGATCGAGTCGCCGAAACCTGAGAGATGAGAGAGTGAGTTAGGGAGAGTCGAGTACAACTTATAGAATGTATCTTAGCCTTCTTAGGGCCGCTGAAAATCGCAAAATCGAGGTAGAAGGACAATGAAAAAAGGAACTGATTATTTGAAGAGCAACAGCGAAATCACAACCTAACCTGTCGTCGACAAAATCAGACATCGAGATTTATGTGCTACGAAAGATGATCGATAACTGTTGTTTTTTAGGTCGACAAAGAACAATGACTTAAGATATCGAGAGTTGGGAGACAAATATTACTTTCTACTTGTGTTGCTGCTTTACCAAAATGTTTTATTATGCTCACAATGACAAAATTACAGCTTTTTTGTTTTGTTTTGTTTTGTTGGGTTAGGCCCTTTCGGTCCAATTAGACCATTTCAGAGCCGGGACTGGATAATAGGATATAGGGGGAGACATTGGTCTGGGCAGGCACCCTAGTGAGTCGCCGGGGCTGAGCCCGTCCAGGGGACAGGCCACCCAGCCCCCAAAACACTCACTGCACCCGGCTACGGGGTGCGCTCCCTCAGGAGCAGCGGTGCCGCTCCCTCGGGAGCAGCCCGCATGAGATAAAGTTGCCTGTCCAGCCCGGAGGGGGTTGCGGCGTGGAGGAGAAGGATTTCAGTATCCTGAGGATAGAAGCACGGAACGGTGAAAATTACAGCACGAAATATCAGCCTTTATAGTCAAACACCATACAGCTCACATCAGCACAGCGCAGCAGGCGATTCTCACCCTTATTGATGGGCGTCATGCTGATGTCGTGGTCGAGGAACTGTCCAAACTGCATGAGGAACATGGTGTAGCGCGAGTGGGGGTTGCTGACGTCATCGTGCAGAGTGGTGGAGATGAGACGGGGAGAGGGCAGGGGCACGCCAGTGACCGAACGCTGACGGGGGCGGCTGATACCTGCAGACGGGACGGGGGGGAGGGTCAGAGATACGGCGCGATCATACCGGGAGGGAGAGAGGTCAAAACAACAGATCTTAGAGATAAATGCTAAATGACAATGTAGAAACCACTACGCCAAGGGAAGCTAAGTCATTTATCTCGAAATTTTGCCAGGATTCTTCTAACGACAACTGAATCGAAAACCATACGATACCTCGTAAGTACTTTGTAACAAAAAAAAAAAGGGAGAACCAAAAGGCAAGTCTTATTGAACCCTTCAAGGGAGCCTATGTTTTAACCAAAGTCAACTTACAAACACTGCCCGAAGCACCAAACTTTTCTTGACCCAACTACCAAAAAGAGCAATCCTCAGCACTCTCCCAACCCACCATTACACCATTGTCACTCACCGTCGTCATACTGAGCGGGCAGGAGCCGGTGCTGAGGCGTCACCGATTTGCCAAAGTTGGGGTTGGCCAGGTTGTTACAGTAGCCCGAGTAGGTGCGGTACGGTGCAGCCGGGTCACATGGCACGGTCTCCTCGTCCGCTCTGAAGACAGGGCGGAGGTCAGGTCATGCGCGGTCAAGACTCAAGATGTCCAGTCAACGAGCGAATTCAGCCCAGAATAGGGTGCTAGTGACAGTGATGGGGAATAAAGATGATGTATCAGACCATTTCTGCTTTACAAGAAAGGTCCATGATAAAGATGGCATGTTAGAGGTCAAGCTGGTAAGGTAAGGTGACAGGAAAAGGTTGGATTGGGTCATCAGTTAGGTATCTGCCTCACACCTGGCGAAATGAGGTCGAACAATACACCCAGCTGTCGTAGAAGAATAGCGATCAGAACGAGATCTTATTTGCTTACTGTTGACGCTAGCAAAGCTAAATGATCACGATAAATGAATGTAATCAAAACACACCATTTCGTGCATCAAATTAACGTGCTCATTCCTACCTCTTTTGTAGGCATATCATATCGCGGTTCCGCTGTTACGAAAACTAACCTGCACTGGTCAATGATGGGCACCTGGGACACCAGATTGGACACGTCGAACTGACGCAGGCTCGTACTGAAACCCTGCACCGTCTGAGGGTTACCAGACAGCTGGTTGGACAGATTCACCAGCTGACGCTTGATACGAGAGTTGCCAGATCTGTGGGCAGGGTGACCATGGCGTTATAAGGCGTATTTTCGCGAGGATACAATATGGGAATAGATCGTACCTCGATAACGCTATTTCAATATGACATCTTTTATATTTCATTCCTACATTTGCCCGGATAATTCACTTATACCTATTTCTTTTGGTTATCCAACCACTTGATGGAATTAGCAGTAGCTCTCAGTACATACACACGAAGTAATATCCACTCGCAATCAGTTACACGTATAACACCATCAAATCAAGCTTCTATTACTTATAGTCACCGTGACTTCTACATGACTAGCTATCAGTATAAACTACAGCAACCATCATCAGCCATTGTGCACTCACTTGGAGAAGACGGTGGACATGAATTCTCCAGAGGCGTACTCGAGAATCAGCGATGTGTTGGATAGCAGCACCGCCTGCTTGTTGGGGCGACTGAAGGCGTACGCCGTGCCCAGAGACGACTTGGGGTCGGCGTTCAGTTCTGTAATGGTTGGACGGTTGTTAGAGCTGTGAGGGGGAAGAGGTAGCGTGTGAGCACGACCAATGCATTCGGAAGTCAGGGACGCTGATACTTTTAGATCAACAGCACCTTGATAGTGAGAGGGCCTGCAATTGCTGTTATCCGCTGAACTCTTCTGTCCTTGTCTTCCTCATTCATTCATTCATTCATTCATTCATTCATTCATTCATTCATTCATTCATTCATTCATTCATTCATTCATTCATTCATTCATTCATCCACTAACTCATCCATTCATTCATTTACTTATTCATTCATTCATTCATTCGTTAACTAACTTGTTCATTCACTCACTCATTCACTTACTCTTTCCCTCCTTCCCCACGCCTTTCCTCTCCTCGCCCCCACACCCGCCACTCACTCAGCTCGGTAAGAATCCTCTCCTCATTTCTGCGTCTCTCCAGATCCATCTTGGCCTTGCTGACAACATCTCCAAACACATCGTCAGGGATCAGCACTCCTGAACGGGCCGATTTCCAGGCCGAAAGGTCCAGGAACGGTAGCATGTCGCACAGAACGGGTGCGTTCCTGGGGAGAGATGTCAGTTAGGGTCAGAGGCGAGTCTGTGGGTTTGGTCAAGAACGGGAGACATAAACACAGGGGCAAGGGCTGTTCGTGCTGAAAGGACAGCAATTTCACAAAGTCGCTAATCTGAAGACAGAATTGACATGACTTTAAAACAAAATTATTTTTAAATCTACAGAGGATAATTGTCTTGAATTGGCGGAAATAGCTGAAGCTTCTCAATAAGTAGGCCGGTTTAAGTCGGTTTTAAGTCGCCAGCGATTCGCAAAAGTTTAAGCGAGATGGAACAAGTAGCTAGACAAAGGTATGGCAGGGTTTCTAGAGTTTGCAATCGTTACTCACAGGAAGGGGTCCTGCTTGAGGAATACGTTGGGCGGCAGCTCCCTCACTCCATCGATGTTGTTACAGAACAGTCGGGCCATGCTAGACTTGCGAATCTGGTACAGTTGCTCTGTAAACGAACACATGCGAGCGTTATGATACGGGACTCGTTAGGAATAACCCCGAGAGATGTGTTGCATTTGAACACTGGGTTATATGGAGACAATCAAAATGAATTCGCAGTTTGACAACTTACTTAGGTTGCTAGGCCTCACTAAACCTAATTGTCCTAAAATGATAGTAATTAAGATTGCGTTGTACAATGAGACAAGCCTACAGAGTACAGACAATTGGAGTGAAGATCATTCGGACTTTTAAAAGGTCTTTCACAAATACGCAGTCTCAGCCAACAAGCTCAAATTATCGTGAATCAATCCAATACAACATATTACCCTAGCCTCCAGCCACGTTATTCCATTCCACCCGTACCTTTGGTGAAGGCCGACGGGGGCACCTCGTTCTCAAACCAGAACCGATCTGTCTGCCTGACCAGCTGGAACTGCTGGCCCAGCAGACAGGCGAAGGTCGGTCCCACCACGGCGCCCTCCACAGGAGACTCGAGCACGCCGCCCACGAATAGGTCAATGTCGGCAGGGGACCTGGGGTCAGAGGGGGGTCAGAGGTTAAAAGGTCAGAGGTCACAGATCAGCAGTGCTTCGGCAGGTATCATGGGTCAAAGATGAAAGACCTAAGGTCAACAGTCAAAGGTAAACGGTAACAGGGACCGGGGTAGATAACTGGAATGAGTCATGTGTCAATTCATCCGATTTACCTGAGCTAAGGAGAGGTTGATAACTATGCCATCATCCATAAAAGCAAATGCCTATCACATACGGAAGTTACAATATCAAGTTTGATATAATTCATCTGCAATCGTCAATATGGTAATATATTGTCTACAGCTGACTGCATTCGGGGCGAATAAGCATATCATACACATCCTTCTATGACGTTTCGTAGACTATCTTTCCTCTCCTACCATGCCTCCCCTGACCCCCCCCCCCCCTCAACTCCCCACCGTTCACCTACCGATACATGCTCCTCAGCATATCGATCTTGCTGGGCGCCATGGTGGTGTTGAGGTCACGGAACTGGGTGACCGGAGGCAGGCCACACAGCTGACGCCACTGGGTGTAGGCGGCCACGCCGTGGTCACGCGCCTGCTGGATGGTGTCGGCGGCCAGGTCCAGGCCCAGGGCTGGAGAGAGAGAGGGGGGGGGTCAGAAGTTTACCAAAGCTGTTAGGGGAGAAGTTAGAAACGAGGGAACGATGCGGTAGCCCGTACCGCATGAAAGACACGAGACATTCATGCGAAGAAACCGAAAATGAGACATGTTTTCATTACACACGCTCCAACATCACACACCAGACATAGCTATATTTCCGTTTTAAGATATGACTTTAAAATTTAGTTCGTCTTCATCTTCACTCCAATACATCTAAAACAAAAGTCTACGATGAAATCGACAGATAAACATCATACGCGGGACCCCAGTCCAGAATAAATAGGTCATCATCTTGTCAGCTCAACGCACCGTGTCCCATTACTATCCTTACTACATTACTATATATTACCATCCCTATACTATCCTCACTATCCTTTCCCATCTTGTCCTATCGCTTCCACACGGCCACCTTCCTCTCCTCACCATCAGTCAGCTGCTCGGTAATGGAGTCTCCCTGCGACGCCTGACTTCCAGTCAGACCGAGCAGCACCTGCTCCAGACGACCCTCCTTGTACAGGTCAAACGGAGCGAAGAACGAGGCAGAGAGGGGAGCCTCGCCCTCCGCCTCTCCGTTCTGGGGACGAGAAGGAGGAGAGAAGTGAGAACGTCGCATGGTTAGCAGAAAAAGTGTAAATGTAAAGCTAGTTACTTCAATTGCAGAATTCAGGATTGAACTGCAAAATCTAGTTCATATTCCTCTAATAATTTACCATTAATTTGCACTAATCATAGATGACTTAAATTACAATCGTAGTTCGTAGATCAGGCACTCTATGCACAAAATAATTAGCAATTAAAGCAGCCTATGGTTTTTGTTTTTCTCATCGATGCAGTTAAGACCGTTCTCTTTACAGCTAGCATACCGCAAGCCCGTCTAGTTATTCCGTTGCAATTAAGTCATCCTCAACCATTTTAACCTATTCCTTGTATCACCTCTCCCTTCTGAATACAAATCCCCTGTATCCGACCCCCACTCACCACATTGATGTACTGCAGATAGCCCGGTAGCAGGGCCAGGTAAAACTTGAGCGCCGTGCTAGCAGCGGCGTTAGACACGCCAGGGTACTCATCCATCGAGTAGTGCTGGTGGAAGCCGGCAGACAGCAGCTCCAGGTCGAAAAACTTGGTCACCTCCTGTTGAAGGGGGGAATACCGAATGCGGGTGGTCAGGGGGTGTAAGAATCTTGGTCAGGGGCGCGTGAAGGGTTGTCAGAGGGTACATTACGGGCCAGCAAAGGGTGAATTACGGATTGCTTTAGTGTTTTACGGGCAGTCAGAGGAAGCATTAATTAAAGGTCGTGAGATACGCGATACTTGTCAAAACTCGGGCTGTTTAGAGAAAATTACGGACCAGGGTGTATAACGGATCACCAATGGGTGACTTACGGACCACCAGACGGTACATTACATACAGAACGTTAGAACATTTTCATCAAAATTAAGTGGCGGATTCCTGACCAGCATCGAAGGGCAAGTCAAGGAACCAAAACATTATTTGATCAACATTCAACATCACTTCCAACATCATTATCAACATCATCATCATCATCATCATCATCATCATCATCGTCATCATCTCACCTGTCCCAGCACAGCCGGCACAAACTCCTTGAAGGTGATGTGCTGCAGCTGAGCAATGATCAACCTCCGGGTCTCCTGGTAGGTCCTCTCGTCTCCCCAGTGCGGGTTCGTCTCAGACAGCTGAGCCGCTATGCGGTTGTGCTCGCGGGCTAACAGGGCGTAGATGGCACTGATTGCTGAGTGTGAGTTGGCGCGTGGGTCGGCAGCCAGGGGGCAGCTGTGGGTGGCAGAAATGGGGTGTTAGTTTTGGGACTTGGGTACTAAGGGGCAGTGTTTGAGGGAGTGGTTGAGAGAAATATGAGAGCCTACATAGAGGCAGCAACGAAAATTTATTGATTTTCTTTTTTATTATTGATTTTTTAAAATGATGTATATTTTTATAGATTAAAAAATGAATAGTTTCATGACACTGGTTCAATCTTTACTCCGTTTTGGCGCTTATAAATGCATTAGACAACGTTATAAGGGAATGCGATTCTTCCAACCGTTCAGTTTTTACAATTTACGAATGAAACATTCCTCCAAGCAATAAAGCGTAAATATCTCAACTCTCTTTCGTCTTCTCTCTCTCTCTCCCCCCCCCCTCTCTCTCTCTCTCTCTCTCTCTCCCCTCTCACCCGCTCTCCTTGCTCCTGCACGGCGTATCATCCCCACGCGGCAGAGTTCCATCGGCGTTCAACTTGAGCTGTCCCCGGCTCAGGGACCGCAGCCGGTGCGCCGACTGCTTGGTGGTGCCGTACAGGCCGCTTCCGTCCAGGAAGGAGGTCGCCAGGTTCATCTGCTCACGTGGGCCTGGGAGAGAGGAAGGAGCGGTTAAATATGGGGTGGGGCTGGTTGTGGGATACCCGAAATACGTGAGACCATAAAGGATACATTTCTGAATCGTTTAGACCACACAGCTAAACGAGGTAGCATCAAAAGCTCACAACTCATCAAATCAAGTTTCTTAAACTCGCTGAGGTGAGTTCGTACAACTCATCAAGGTTGTAGCTCACTACTCACCAAGTTCTCAAAACTCACTGAGTTAAGTACTCATTGACCCGAATTCACATAATTCACTCACTTGACTCCCTACAACATATCAAGTCGAGTTTTGACTCACCGAGTTGAGTTCTCAAAACTTGCTGAGCCAAGGACTCACTGACCCAAATTCATGCAACTCACCGAGTTGACTCCCTGCAACTTATCAAGTCGAGTCTCGAATCACCGAGTCGAGCTCTCACAACTCATTGAGTTGAGTTTCCATAACTCACTGAGTCGAGTTTAACTCACCGAGGTGGCATCCCATCTGCAGTGAGGACAGTGACCGCACATACTCCTGGCAGTGACCGGGCGACAGAATGGGCAGGCAGTGAGGCTCACGGGCTCCGTCACGGCAACACGAGGTGGCTCCGCCGTCACCTGAAGACGAGAGAGAAGGGGGTGGTTAGGGGGTATTTAGGGGGTGGTAAGGGGGTGATTAGGGGTGGTAGGGGAGAGATGGAGGAGCTAGGTAAGGCGGCAGTTTGAGGGTGGTTTCGGTGGAAGATGAAACGCGGTAAATGGGCGTTGTATTTACAACGTCAAGAGCACTTTGGTGTACTACAGGGTGTCTCAAAAGTTCGTATACACATTTCCCATGCCCATAAAGCATATAAGAACCGGCAAAAAATCTAAGGTTTTTGTGTGTGTGTGCACACTAGACAAATATGCATGCTTTGACAACTGATTCGGGAGGTTGGAAATCAAACCCTTTGCTGTATCTCCAAAAATATTTGCCCATACCGATTTTCGTCGCTCCGTCAGCTGCCGGAGGCTGATAAAAGGCTACCAGCTTTCTGAAGCTCTTGTAAGGGAATCCCCTGCAGTTTCTGCGTCGGAATTAGGTTTGACGAGCTCCCCGGCAACATCCGCTTCTCCCTGAAAGCCGACAGCGTGCATCGACACCATCCGTGAGTATTTTGTAGGTCTTCTCTGGCGCTACTCCTTCATGAATGACTGGCGCCGACCTCCCAAGCACCATTTTCCTTTTCAAATCAACCCCATTCCTGAACAAATGGGAAGTGCCAGGGGAAAATTTTTCGCAGCATATCGTAGAAGAATGTGTCGGCCATCTGTTTCTTAGACACATTGTGCAAATTTTGCAAATCCCAAACGCTCGTCATTCCCCATGCCAAGACCTTCGCTGGGTTGCGGAGTGTTTCCTCAGGAGAGGTTCTGCTTTGTAAACGGCCAAAACCTGTCCATCGTGTGGTTTTGTCGGGATTTTGTGTCTAAAAGAAAGCTGTTCGCTCCAGATCTGCCTCTTAAAACTTCGTAAGATAAAACTTTACATTAATTGACACTTTTGGAGGGTCAGTTGTCCTTGGTATTGATGATTTTCGTGTTATTTTCCCCAAAAATTTAGCGTTCTAGATATTATAAACAATTTCAAATGATACTTTGTCTTTATTTTACGATGACCTGCAATTTTTGAAACTGGGTAACCTCTGTCTGTGAGCTTCTTGTCAGTTTTCAATAGTTATGCCTTCATTTTCAGCTGCTTTCCGGAGCACGAGTCTGCTGCCGTACGAGGGTCGTTCAAAACGCTGTTAGTCTCGCATGGTTTTGTCCTTCAAAAATTTTAGCCACCGTTTTTATTAGATGATCATCATGTTGTACTCATCCTCGCCGACACTTTGCCATGTGTCATTTCCGACTTAACCATTCCCATTACTCCTGAAACAGAGAGTTTCTCAGCCGACCCGATTTTGCGACCTCCATTTTCATGCTTGACCAATGGTCAGAGATGAACCCTTTTTGTGGGCTCATGAAGGGTCGAATGCGTTTGAAAACAATGAGACTGCTTGAGGAAGGTTGTTACCAATGCCCATGCAAAATTTCGACTGTTTATTTATTGTTGATTCAGAATTATTGACAAAAAAGCATGGCTGGTACCTGTCAACGAACTTTTGAGACACCCTGTACGTGGTTGAAGGATTGAAGGAGTGAAGTAAAGGATTGAAGAAAGAGCACGCGTGTATCTAGGATATACAGTTACGTAAATAAAGACCGGTGTGCACATCGTATAACAGCATAGATACATTGACTAAGCTATCGATTTCACATTATCAGAACCATCACTCCAACAGTCGGTAATCGTACACCGGCACTGATCATTCACCAAACAAATAGCCGGGGCTCCGAACACAGCGCGTTTCTCCCTCGATCAGTCGACGGCTTTTTATCAGCGTTTTTATCACGCCGATGACATCAGATGCATGCGACTAACTACTCCACTTTATTCACCTCCACTATCGCATGTAGGCAACGGGGAGAGGCGAGCTCTTTCAACACAGGCCAGCCCGGAAAAGGTCATGGGGTCACGGGGGCACGGGGTCGCTCTCCCCGTGATCCAATATTGCAACTGTTGGGATCGGGAAGAGTGATTCGGGAGCCCGTCACTTTCGGTGAAACGCTGAGAACAACTAGCTCAGATATATGGGATCGAAAACTAATCCTGCACAGTTTAGTCATTGATAGACATTAACCGTTACTTACATACAAAACGAGTTGCAGCCTACATGGCACGTCTGCATAAAACTTTTATGCAAAGTTCGGTTCTGTATTCAAAGGTGCAACTGATAAGTAACGTTCATATTCACACATTAAATCATTCATTTGGAACAGCAAGTGACCTTCCAGACAAAGCAAAGCCTTCCAGATTATCATTGTATATCTCAACACACTGAAACCAACCAGACCATGCCGCTGCCGGCGCACGTCTGCCATACCGTGTCCCTGGGCCCTGGCTCGGTCTGTTTGTGCGGAAATCATCCAGCTAAGCAGCTTTCTCGGCACTGGAACGTGTTTACAGCACTTAGCCGGCCCGATGGGGATAATCACAGACCCCGAGAAACGTTTCAAACATGACTCACAACATGAGGTCAGCGCACGCAGCACAATCTAGCTGAAGGCCGAAGGGTACCGGCGGAGGTAACATAATCCGTTGTTGATTCTCGCTACGTTAACCCGCGCGGGGCTGGGGGGGTAAATTTTACCCCCCCCCCCTCGCGAATTTTTGCGATATCTCAAAACTTTCAGTACCTTTTCTTACATCAATTTGACACGTTCCCTGAAAATTTGAGCGAAATCCGTTGGAAAATTTTTGAGAAATTGACGTTTTAGTGACGTCATGTTCGTCATTTTCGCCTCAAAAACGGCAAAAGTTCAAACGCCGCTAACATCTTCATTTTTAAAGGAATCAAGACGTAACAAAAAAGGTTATACGTAATTTTACTTTGTCCATCAAATGGCTATCTCGGTTTTTTGAAAATTTTGGATTTTGGCCTAATTTTTTTCAAAAAACTGACTTTTTTGGGAAAATCATTATAAAATCCAAAATTTTGAGTCTATCGAAAAAAACGGAATATATGTCAGAGAAGTGGTCTATGTGCACCTACAGACCAAATTTTAGAAGAATCGGTTCAAAAATGTGGGAGTTATCCAAAATTTTATGACGTCACGACACACAAAATTTTTGAAAAATGACTTTTTGGGAAGTTCTAGACCTCGTACGGAAACAAAAATAGCACCATTCGATTCGCCGTGAAAAACTGCATCAGATAGACACCTTTTTAGGCCTTAACAACCAACTTCAAAATTTGACCTCACTTGACCTGACCTTGACCTGACCTCGGCCTGAAATTCATCCAGAGGTGGTCCATATCACTTATTGAGTGTGCCTATTGAATTCTATGAGTAAAATGACCCATAAAACATGTGTCGCACATGCCCTTTTCTATATTTTGTTTTTTGGTGACCTGACCTGACCTGACCTGACCTTGACCTTGACCTCTGAATGATATTGTATGCAACGAATATTGTCTTGGTAGCCTAAGAACACGTTTTGGGCGATCAGTCTCAGTCCATGACTCCATTCTTCGGCAACTACGGTGCAAGGCCGATACTGTAGAAACTTGCAATTTGTACCCTTGACCTGACCTTGACCTTGACCTCAAACTTTCAATTAAGTACATGTTTTTAGTAGTTCGTGATGAGAGCTTTCGATTGGCGTTTGAATTTTCCAAATCGGACCGTTAGTTCGGGAGATAACAGGGGGGTAAAATTTACCCCCCCCCCCCCCAGCCCCGCGCGTTCGGCTGGAGACCCCAGCCCCGCGCGGGTTAACATCGGGGCCAAGCTTCAGATAAATGGCAAGCTATGGAGAAATGACATTCATGGCTTTTAGTAAGGCGCTTCGAACTGAGATGCGAGCGAAGCGGTCTGAACTCATAAGGGATGATTAGTTGCTGTGAAATGTGAATATAATGTGGTGAGCACAACTATGTTCACTGATTCTTCTTTGCCAACTGCTTCCGCATTCCTTTCAGGAATCCTCAAACTGTAAATTCATCAGATGTCCGAGCTAGAACCGAACGACGCCCTCAGGGCTCAGACTGTTGAATTATAATCCAGTGACGTCTTCAGGGCTCAGACCATTGAATTATAATTCAGTGACGTCATCGGCCCGTTGCAGAAGGGTGCAGCGTCACACTCTCTGCAGTTTTAACCCTAGATGGCACGGGTTATCGCTGAGGTTTATCGCTGGCTGCACTCGATAGTGAAAACGGCCACCGCGCGCTCTACACGGGGAGGGCGGGCGGATGAGCGGAGCTTTCTCTTTCATCGAGCAGCGAGTGTTGCTAAGACCGGCTGGCTAGCGGGAGGGGAGGGGAGGGAGGGAGGGGAGGGGTTACGAGGGTGCAGAGTTGCAAACGGGGACCTGGGTGTAAAAGGATGAGAGAGGGTGAGGCATAAGGCAGAGGCACACTCACCCGCCGGTTTAGGTGATATTCCTTTAATCTTAAACAACTGTTCAAAATGAGACAACCTAGGCATGGATATTGCACGCAAGTGCACAATGCCCATGCCTAATAGCGCAACCACTTCCCAAATGCCTAACATCGGTACGCCCATTCATAGTTTCCCAAAATTTCACCACTGAATTCCTGTCTAATTTGTTTCAGCTTCGATGCTCTCGATTCATCGAACTGGGATGTCACTTCCTTTACCGTGAACTTGTTTGATTTCATAATCTCAGTTCAATGGGGCATGGCTCGCTTCATACTAAAACCTCACCAAACGTAACATCCATTGACAGTGTAGTCTCCTGTTTTGTTTCTCATTTCTCCAGCTGGACCAGACGCATGGCAACATTTTCCCAAAAACACCCACTCCGGGACGAAGCTTCACGGAGCATCACAGCTAATAACAGCCCCAAGAACTCAGTCCAGGGGCAGAGCTCAGACGACCTTCAGCAGACTGAGGCGAGCCACCCAGTTCTCACAGTCACAACATCCGGTGATTCGTCTTTTCTGCGGCCGACGTCCTCCAGAGAATGGTGACTTACAGGGACACAGCGAGTTCACGCAAGGAGGAAT